GATACGATCGATGAACGACTATTTGTCCTTCTCCATTGTACGGTGAAATCAAAGATTCCAGGCGATTTTGATATTCTAAATACAGTTTCTGTTCAGGGTTCGATTTATCCACGGGCAGTGACTCGGCGGTGGCCGGCTGGGTTTGAAGAATCAACGACTTTGTAGCTTCGACTTCTTGTTGATCAGTTGTGCCCTTGAAAACGCTGGAAACTAGCTCATTGCTTGTGCAAGTTTGTCTTTCAATCACTTCTAGCAGTTCATTACACTGTGGTTTTTCTTTCAATACGTTTGTCTTATATTGATCGTTGATGTCAACTGCTGGCGTTGACAAGTTTTCACACAATGATGCTTCTTTACTTCGATTCGGTTCATCTGAAGAGTCAGACTGTTCATTTGTGTCCTTGATGATCTGCTCCCAGTCCTCTGCCGGTGACATAAAGCCGTCATAACCCGGTTGCTCTATCGGCAACAGCGAGTGTGGAACCAAACTGATATGTACTGAATCGCCGGCGTGGTCTTTCGCCATCGAGTTGTCGAGCTCACTGAAAGTGACATGGCTTTTCTTAACTTTCATCGGTGTTTCTGTCAGAAAACTCGTAATTCCCTTCTGAGATTGAAAGATTTGCTGTTTGTTGACATTGCTATCAACCGAAGTGATTTCTGCAGACACTTGAGCCTTTATCGCAGTTTCATCATTCGGTAGAGCTGATTTGCCCGGAAAGATGTTTGCCTCTTTACCCAGCTTTGACACACTACTGTCGTTCCGTATCGAGAAGTGGTGCTGAAACTCGGTAGAATTTGAATTTTCGCCGTGAAGAAAATGTTTGTTATCTAATTTTAAAGTGTTTGATAATTTCTTTTTTACCGTTTCTTGTTTTGAAAGTAATTTCTTGGACGCCATGTTACAAGCTTTCACACATCAGCTCTAGCAAGAAACAAACTTAGTCCTTAACCGCCAGACGCGACTAGAGCCACATGAATTTATCGTTGTCATCTGCGATATATTGACGATGGTTCGAAACGAGCATCGTCAGTGGAATACATACCATTGCCCATTACAAGATCTGGCCAGATTTCGTAACAAAAATGCCCCTTTTAGGAAGGTCTCTACAATCACAATGTTATATTTGAATATTCAGGTCAAACGGCAGTCTTCATTAATTGTGGAATAAATGCCATCACAGCCAGACGGACACGATCTGTGGATCACAAGGCTGTCTTGTCGGATCAATTACTGTTCAACACTAATGCTAAATAGTTCCTAATATAAAAATTATAACAGAAAAAGACTAGAACTGCATCATCGTCATCAGGTGCCTTGCCGACTGGCGTGGGCGATCATGCCTCGCCACAATCTGCGATCTCCTGCAGCATGTATCAGTTCGTGTGCCGACACACCTCCATTCCATGCAACAAGACTGTCAAGAATCTTCTCTTGTTGTCTTCCTCTATCCCTCCTTCCACAGATCTTTCCAGTGGTCACAACATTTTCTATTTTCCCTCTTCTCATAACATGGCCAAAAAAATGATGACTGTTTGTTCTGATGTCTGTGATAATTTGTCTTCGGGCTCCCGCCTCTTTCGAAACCTCTTGGTGGCTCTTTTTGGCTGTCCAAGGTATTCTAAGCATTCTTCTGTAAAACCACATCTCTGAGGCCTCAAGAAATTGTTTGGCCTGCCTGCTGATTGTCCAGAATTCACAGCCATATGTTAAAACTGGATGTATGTAGCAAGCAAGAATTCTTTTTCTAACTCTCAATGACAAGGATATATTGCACAAGATGTTCCTCATTTTATAAAATGCAGTTTTTATCTGTTCTATTCTGTTTCTTATCTCATTTGTACATCTTCCATCTGATGTTATCCATGTGCCCAGATACTTAAATTTCTGTACTTGTCCCAAAATAATACCATCGACTTTTATTACACATTTAGGAATAATTCGTTTCTTTGATACCACCATTACTTCTGTCTTCCCATTATTCAAACTGAGGCCCATTATTCCACCACAATGTCTATTGTTGCTATCAAGACTATGTCATCAGCATAACTTAAATTGTTTATATTATGCCCACCAACCACAATTCCGGACTTGTCAGTTAAAGATCTCATTATATATTCACTGTATAGTTCTCACAAAAACAATCTTTGGCGGGCCCAAAAAAGGGTTATCCCCCCCCCCTTTCTCTCTTCCCCTGTAACGTTCCTTGATTGCAAATAATTTTTTATTTGTTTTGAATAAACTGGAGCGAGGAAGTGAAAATGTAACCAAGTGGAAAATTTGAAGTACAGTCAGATTTACAAAAGTACAGCCAAAGTAAACAAAGAATGTTTCGGAGACAAATCTTCTTCAGCAAACAACAATTAGAAAAACTTACTCAACAAAGTCAGTACATTAAGGCTTCACAATACTAAACAAACATGGGAGAAAGAAAAAAGAATGTAAAAAAAAACTGTTTGTTTCGCTACGAATTGATATCACAGCATTCAGGACATTCCCATAAGCGCTCCGTCCTCATCTTCAGCAGCAAGCACAAAGTTTTAATTCCAGTGGTACCAATAGCAATCTGATTGTATATCCGTCTCTGCTAACTACCAGGGACCTTAGAAGTGATGCTTGCCACTCTGCACAAAGCATGCCTGTCTCCATCTTTCTCAACGTGCTCTGTGAGTCAGTTACAATCACGGCATGGGTGTACAGCTGATTCTCAAGCCAGCGGAAGGCAGCAGTGATTGCCTCCACCTCCATTCTCAAACTAGAGGTTGTGATATCATTTGCAAGCCAGGCTTTGCTGCACTAAGCGACATCTATTTGTCTTTGCTATAAACCCCCATGCACTTCGTCTGCCCCTCAACACAGAGCCATCTGTATAGATAGATAATCACATCACTTGGGCGGCAGTTGGCATAAGTCATTTGTTGAACTTCTGATTCTCCAGCACCAGCTGGCCTGTCTCTGCACTACAGACCAAACGTGATTAGAACCCCACACAAGTCTGAAACTTGTTCAGCCATCTTGATCCACTTCCCTCCTCGCCAAGCCTGCACTCATGTCCAATTGTGTTGCGCCATCTAAGACCTTTCTCTGTTCAGTCTGTGACCTTTAGCTCTACCCAGGGCTTCATGCAGGAGGTGCTTCTTGTCTACAGCTACTCTAAGATATGACTTTGCTTGCAGAACTTTGAGCCTATCTGCAATAGTAGGCACTGCAAGTATATATCACTACCAGGGTATCTCTTGTACATCCCAGAATTACCCGCATGGCTTCATTCTTTGTAAGCCTTGAAAATATATAAATGGCCCAATCAGATGTTGGTGATTAATTGTCTCCTTGTGGTTGTAGAGTAGGCAATTTATTATGCGACAAGGGCTCCTCATAATTTTGAAAAGTGGCAATTTTATGTAAGGTGACTGATTATTTGGCCTCGTTCTGCTTTTTCATTCCTGGGCCATTGCAGTCACACAGTGTCTACCGTTGCAGTCACAGTGTCTACCATTGCAGTCACACAGTGTCTACCATTGCAGTCACAGTGTCTGTGTGCTGTAGTGCAAATTTTGTTGTTAAGGTCGACTTTACAATGGCTTCTTCTTAGCTACGGCAGTTTAGTTAGCGAATTAATCCGTGTTTTCGCTGGCTGCTTAAGATGAGGACGGGGTCCTTATGGGAATCACCTGAGTGATCCACTGTAAAATCTTAGCTGCACACTCAACTTAATCAGCTGATCACCCTCATCTCACAACACACAAATCCATAGGCACTCGGATCCCATCTTCATACTTCCTTCAGTGTGTGGTGACAGACAACAGTAGTACTGTGTTGGTTTACTATTCTTCTTTAGCTGCCTGTAGTGTTCTCACGTCTGGCAACACAACACGTCTTTTGACATGAAGTTCTTGTGGTCCAGGTTGCTAATTCACCGCTGTCTCCTGAGTCTACTCGTCCTGCCTGCTTGAAAGCACTGATACTAGTGACCTGATCCATTATTTTCTCTGTGCTCTGCCAGTTTGTCCCTTCCACACCCACAGCATGGGCAAGAAATGCAACCCTTGTCTGGTCACCTCTTATAAATGCTATTTAGGGAACAGTCGGTACAACGTCCCCTTATATAGCACAGAGTTACCAACTTAGAGAGTAGGCCCGTTGTCTTTTTTATCCTTTCTGCGAAAATTTTGAAACAACTAAGACAAAAGAAGCTATCTTAAAAACAAACAAGCTAAACATCAAAGTACAAAAAGGTTTTTAAAGTCAAAAATGTTACAAATACTTTTATTTACACAAACACTTAAAAAATGACACAAATTGGTCAGTCATCGTAGCAAGGAACTAACAACACAAGAAATAACATGTGCAGTGCGAAGCAACTGAAGCAGACGTAAACTGGAGCAAATGACAACAGGTAAAACAACACCTAACAAAGCAATGAGTTGCATGACTACCACAGGCATGTGTTTATCCTTAACTTAGCACGCTGTGTTGTTTACAGCAAGGCTGCAATTTCTGCATCTTTCAGCCCAACACATGTCAAACCTAAGCAAACCCTTCATTCAATTAGTCACCTGTTAGGAGGTAGTTGAACCCCCCCCCCCCCCCCCCCCCCACGTCCCAACTGTGCCTGACAGGCAGTGAAGGCTGAGGGTGGGTGTTTGTGTTCAGTCACACATTTATCCACATTTGCAGGCTTTTCCCCCAGCCCTCGCCAGAACACTGGATTCAGCTTCCATATTAACAGACGGAATACACCCCTCATTTTGTTTCAAAAGACGATAATTAATAATAATATTTATTAGGCGATGAATGATGAATATGAGTGTATGCCACCAATGTTGATATACACAAAGTGACAGTTAGCTGCAAAATGACATGAATTACTATAAGATTTTACAACAGTATAGATCTACCTTAGATCTACAGAACAAACAGTTACATAATCATCTACAGAACAAAGGTTAACCTCATTAGGCACACCCCCCCCCCCTTATAAAAATCATGCAATAACCATCTATGTCTTCTTCTTCTTCCCACTTTGTTTTGTTGGTGTTGCATCTCCTTTCCTCTTGACTCCCTTTGGAGTTGCCTTTCCTTTCTTCTTTCTCTCTGCTTTCTCTTTTTCCTCAAGCTCCATGTTCTCTCGCTCAATGAGAGTGATTAGAGTGTTGCACCTTCGCTGCAGTTCCTGTTAGGAAATAATACAATAAAATAAATCGTCTACCAAATTGGTAAGTTCAATATTCCATGCAATCTCTCTTCATCAACTGAGGTGAGAAAGAGCTACATAAATCTTGTCCTGATATACGGGAGTGGATTATGGAAGTTGGTCAACTCGTTAAAAATAATTATGTTGAAACAGCAGAGATGTGGTTTTATAGATAAATAATGATAACACTGGAAAGATGGTAATGACTTTAAGAAATTGACTCATTAAGAGGACCTGATTGCCACAATCAGGAGGAGACAACCTACATTGTTTGGTCACGTCATGGAAAGGAGACAACGAGTATAGTGTGATAGCGAGAACATCTGCAGAAGGAGAGTGAGAGAGAAGATGATTCGACATTGTCGCTGGCATGATGTATTGAGTTCTGATAGGTCTACAAAATACAGCCAATGATGCCTGGCGTGGAGAAAGGTCCTCTGCTTATTTTTGACGAGATAAGGTTGCCAGTCTTGTCTCTTTTCTGCCCACAATGAGGCAGTGGAACCACCACAGGAAATTGGGATACCATCTGTTGTACTGGTCTATTATTACTTCTGTGTACATCATTTTCTTCTTCTCTGCCCTTTATCCGCCAATGGAGCATAGTCTCTCAACCAAGTCATCCTTTCCTTTGCTATCACAGCTCACGCCAATTTCTTTCCCCATTTTCCAACTTCACTGTCTAGTTCTCCTCACCATGCCTTTTTCCTTCTCAATGTGCGTCTTATCCACCAGCATCTGTTCCTCACTTCCTGGTCTACTGAAATGTGTTTGCTACTCTTCAAGGCTCAACATGAGTAATTTTATCGCACCATTTAGTTCCCTTTACTCTCTGCAGGCATCAGCTGACGAATGTTTGTAGTTGATTAGAAACTGTTTTAGTAGATTGTACATACTGAACACCAACGTGATTGTATATCACTGAACACCAAGATGATTGAACATCACTGAACATCAACACGATTGAACATCACTGAACATCAACATGATTGAACATCACTGAACACCAACATGATTGAACATCACTGAACACCAACGTGATTGTATATCACCGAACACCAAGATGATTGAACATCACTGAACATCAACATGATTGTACATCACTGAACATCAACATGACTGAACATCAACATGATTGAACATCACTAAACACCAACATCAATGAAACAGAAAATAGGTCACACTTACCATGGCCGTCCTGGATTTGATAAACCAATCAAAGCGGAACTGGGGTGCCTGCCTGACTGCCTGTCGCAGCTCGTCGTAGACATTCTCCTTGTAGAAGCCCAGTTTGTGCAGCATGCAGACCAGGAAACGGTCTTCCTCTTCTGTGTAATTCTTGCCCTTGTTGGTCCCGTACTGGATTCTCAACTGGTGGAACGGAGCTCTGTATCTCGACATCTATTTATGTCAAACAAGAGAAAAGGTTCATGTCAAATTTCATATAAATTACTGGTTAGATTATACAGCACCTTCAGAATTTGTTGTGAGGTGAGTGGTTGTTTAATCGCTGTCATAGCTAAGTTGTTATATTTCCTAGTTGCTGTAGTGGCTAGACGTCCGCCTGCAAATCTGAAGGTTCAGGGTTTAGGTCATGATGGAGCCAGGCCCTTTTTTTTTCACAAATGACGGGCTAGCAGGTCCTTTATGTTTAAACAGTAGACTACATGGCTGGCTGGACCTTTATGTTTGAACAGTAGACTACATGGCTGGCTGGACCTTTATGTTTGAACAGTAGACTACATGGCTAGCAGGTCCTTTATGTTTGAACAGTAGACTACATGGCTGGCTGGACCTTTATGTTTGAACAGTAGACTACATGGCTGGCTGGTCCTTTATGTTTGAACAGTAGACTACATGGCTGGCTGGTCCTTTATGTTTGAACAGTAGACTACATGGCTGGCTGGACCTTTATGTTTGAACAGTAGACTACATAGCTAGCAGGTCCTTTATGTTTGAACAGTAGACTACATGGCTGGCTGGACCTTTATGTTTGAACAGTAGACTACATGGCTGGCTGGTCCTTTATGATTGAACAGTAGACTACATGGCTGGCTGGTCCTTTATGTTTGAACAGTAGACTACATGGCTGGCTGGTCCTTTATGGGTGAACAGTAGACTACATGGCTGGCTGGACCTTTATGTTTGAACAGTAGACTACATGGCTGGCTAGCAGGTCCTTTATGTTTGGACAGTAGACTACATGGCTGGCTGGTCCTTTATGTTTGAACAGTAGACTACATGGCTGGCTGGTCCTTTATGTTTGAACAGTAGACTACATGGCTGGCTGGTCCTTTATGTTTGAACAGTAGACTACATGGCTGGCTGGTCCTTTATGTTTGAACAGTAGACTACATGGCTGGCTGGTCCTTTATGTTTGAACAGTAGACTACATGGCTGGCTGGACCTTTATGTTTGAACAGTAGACTACATGACTGGCTAGCAGGTCCTTTATGTTTGGACAGTAGACTACATGGCTGGCTGGTCCTTTATGTTTGAACAGTAGACTACATGGCTGGCTGGTCCTTTATGTTTGAACAGTAGACTACACAGCAGGCTGGTCCTTTATGTTTGAACAGTAGACTACATGGCTGGCTGGTCCTTTATGTTTGAACAGTAGACTACATGGCTAGCAGGTCCTTTATGTTTGAACAGTAGACTACATAGCTAGCAGGTCCTTTATGTTTGAACAGTAGACTACATAGCTAGCAGGACCTTTATGTTTGAACAGCAGACTACACAGCAGGCTGGTCCTTTATGTTTGAACAGTAGACTACATGGCTGGCTGGTCCGCTGAGACTTGATTGGTCTAGCCCTTGATACTTAATATGCATTAAGGATAGGGTCCTTTACTTTTATTTGCTATTCAGCTTCCCCACTAGTCACGGGGTGGGGGGTCCCTGGGTGGGTTCTAGGGTCCTATTTTGAGGATGGGTGGGGGGGGGGGGGGGGGGGGAAATAGACACACTAACAAGCATGTCGTAAGTACTGGAACAAAACCACAGTCCAGAAGTGGATGAATAACCAGAACTTTCTGCCAGAGGATGCAAAGCAGAAGAATAAAAGACTGGGCCGGAGACTGGAGTCTGCAGACAATGAAATACCTCAAGAGTGTAGAAGAAACATGACAGACCTAGGCTGTCCAATCAGTCAGCCCATGATTACTGTGCCCAATTAGTCAGCCCATGATTACTGTGCCCAATTAGTCAGCCCATGATTACTGTGCAGAATCAAACTTGATGTGTGTCCCAGGCCTCTCTGTAGATGTGAAGTTCAGGTATCAGTTTCCCCATTACCCCTAAAGTACACCTAATTTGTCAGTTTTTATGGCATGCTTGTTAGGGCACAGTTGATCCATTCTCCTCAATATGCTGCCCTACCCCCCTCCCATGGGGACACCACATTTGTGAGCCTGAGGATGTATAACCAACTAAAGAGTTGAGAAGTGCGACATCAACATGTTTCTAAGCTAACACAAATGTAATATTCCGTTGGCGGGTTTTCTAACAACTGACATGTTGCTAGATGAGTATATGACTTCCCCACTAACAGGGGATTTTTGTTTGTTCCAGCCTGAATACGTACCCTATTCATTGTTCTTTTATGACAAGCCTAGGTATTTGAACCATAACCAAGAGATTTCAGATGAAATGTGTAACCACAGGTGTTTTTGTAACTAAACTTTCTTCAAGATGATTCGAACCTAGCACCATTTTAGCAAGAAGCTATTACACTTGCCAGATGCTTCCATACCCCTTCCTCCCAGTGTATCTCTACAACTGCAACAAGAAAACAAACATTACATGCTGTAGAAGAAGATGAAAGAGAAAACAAACGTTACATGCTGTAAAAGAAGATGAAAGAGAAAACAAACATTACATGCTGTAGAACAAGATGAAAGAGAAAACAAACATTACATGCTGTAGAAGGAGATGAAAGAGAAAACAAACGTTACATGCTGTAGAAGAAGATGAAAGAGAAAACAAACGTTACATGCTGTAGAAGAAGATGAAAGAGAAAACAAACATTACATGCTGTAGAAGAAGATGAAAGAGAAAACAAACATTACATGCTGTAGAAGAAGATGAAAGAGAAAACAAACATTACATGCTGTAGAAGAAGATAAAAGAGAAAACAAATGTTACATGCTGTAGAAGAAGATGAAAGAGAAAACAAACATTACATGATGCAGAAGAAGAAAGAGAAAACAAACATTACATGCTGCAGAAGAAGATAAAAGAGAAAACAAACATTACATGCTGCAGAAGAAGAAAGAGAAAACAAACATTACATGCTGCAGAAGAAGAAAGAGAAAACAAACATTACATGCTGTAGAAGAAGAAAGAGAAAACAAACATTACATGCTGTAGAAGAAGATGAAAGAGAAAACAAACCTTAGCATCCAAAGCTTTCTTGATGCTGATCCTGCGCTGGATCCTGGCCTCTCCACGTTCAATCTGAGCCATGATTCTCTCGATGTCCTGCAGCTCATTGCAGCGCTCCCAGAACACACTGCTGTACTGGTTGACCTATAGTTCAACCAATCAAAAAACAGTCAATAATTCTTTAATTGGTCACTTCTTTAGTTAAGCATGTCAGAGATCTCGGGGGGAAAGAACTGGTTAAAGAATGTTCATTCTTTAATTTAAATTTTTTTTTTTAAATGTCATTTGTTGTTATAAACTGTTGAGTTTTTAACAGTGTCATAACATTAATTAGTTTTAATTGTTTGTCAAAAATTGGTTAAGAATAATGTAGGGTTGATCGGAAGGTCGTGGGTTTGCTCCCTGGCGGAGCCGGACTTTCTTCAAAAATCATCTTGGCTCCCAGGTTGACCCAGCCTTGAGTGGGTACCGGGTGCAGTCCCGGGAAGTAAAGGTGGCTGGCATGATGCTGACCACATCACCTATCTTGTGCCGTTGGTCTATAAAATATAGGTCTAGCCATATATGCCCTATGCGCCTAAAGGCGTGGTAAAGGGTCCTTTACTTTACTTTTTAATGTAGGGTTAAACAAATGTCTTCTTCTTATAACTGCTTCCTCGATTTACCCCGACAGATGAGATCTTATGATAAAATTGATCATTTCCGGCTGTCTTCTTTAGTTCCATACAACTTTAAGTACTTATTCCTTTCTCAAATGGCTGTACAAGAGAAAGTCTTGCAGGATATGTTCTGTGGTCTGGGCACACAGCCCGCATAGACACACTGGCCAACTACTGCGACAAAGCCTGAGATTTTACCTCTGTTATGTCCTGAAGTAGAGAATAATTACAGACTTAAGCAAACCTGTTAGTATTCTGAAAACTAACAGCGTAAAAAAGGCAGACTCAGGACCTTGTTGTCCGATAGAACCTTGAAAAGTCATAAATCCAAGAGGAGGTAACATCATTTACATGTGACAGTCTTGCTGGTAAAACAATAACCTTATCTCAAAAGGGGATTAAACTGTCATCATTCGCTGCCGAACTCACGCCAACACATTCTTGGCAGGTTACAGGGCTACTCTTCAGTAACCTCCGATGGCCATGCCCGAATCAGGGCACTTTTAGGGGCTTCACCGTCACAGAAATAAGCCTGGTACTTCACCACGAGAAAAGTCTCTACAGTAATCTCTGATGGCCACGCCTGAATCACGACTCAGATGATCTAAACACACCTGCAGCAGACTTGAGAGTGACCTCAAGCTTTCAGAACATTTACAACTAACAAAAGACTACAATGGAAACAAATGTGTCGCTGAAACAAACAGCCCACAAAAAGAGAACAACTTGTATCCATGTACGTACCTCTTCAGGTGTTTTGCCTTCTACTTCTCTGGCAATGCTTTCAATGTCATCGCGACCAAACTTCTCGTTGGCTTTGATAAACTGTTGGAAGTCTCGCTTGCTCCAGTTGGTGAAACCCTGTGTCAACATCATTGTATGGTTAAATATGTGCTGTCTTGCCATACTAAACAAGATATGATGATACAAAGCAATCACTTTCTTTTTCTCCTGGCTCCCAACAAACCCTATCAGTAGTATTCTGAAGTCTGGCGGCAAGAAACAATGCGCCCATTCATCGTCGTTACCAGAAATCAGAACACTTATCAAGATAAAATACAATGAATTGGGGAGAGAACAAACTAACAGTAAACATCCAAAAGACCACATCAGCAGACTCAACAGAAAGCAACATACAACAATCTTCCGCCTACAAACAGGCACTGCAGGCTCAACTACCACATGCATAAAATAAAGATTGTATAGTCCCCACAGTGTGCCTCCTGTCAAATAGGACCACTAACAACTGAGCACATTCTGCAGACCTGCCCACTGTACCTACAACTTTGAAAAGACACCTGACCTCAAGAGCCAAGTGTGCAGAGCAAGCTATGGGGAACCAAGAAGGATCTGCTACTGACACGCAAGTTCACTGAGACAACCCACCTGATGGTCTGATCTAAGTATACGAAACCGAACACACACAAAAAGAAGAAGAAGAAGAAAGAGTCTTGCAGCAGACAGTTCATACAAAGAAATTAAGTCTACTAAACATTTAAAATGTAAATAACCACACACAATTACTAAATCTTAAAACTTCTAATTCAGTATTTACTACAGGAGCTTAACCTGATAAAAGTCATCTTTCATTATAAACTATCTGTGGAGATCGACCACCAGCACTCACACGCTCTCTCTCTGTGAGTGGGTGGATTGGCAGGCTGGTGTGTGTGTGTGTGTAGGGGTAGGAGTGCCAACTGTCCTCACCACAGAAGCACCCTTCCCCACAAGACAATCAAAGACACCCACCTCTACAAGATAATCAAAGACACCAACCCCTACAAGACAATTAAAGAGACACAACCACACAAGACAAACATCCCTACAGGACATTTCAGACCACCCATGGTTAGATACAACCACCTCTCAACCCTCCAACAGCTAAAGGCACACACACACAGCAGACTTGTCATCCCTGTGCAGCTCAGGGATTTACCTACAGTAAGTGTCAGTCCCCCAGAAACTCTCTTGAGTTAACCTATTTGTATTTACTTAGTCTGTTACAGTGCTACAATTAAGTGTCAGAAACTGTTTTGTTTTTCCAATTCTAATATACTACTACTAAAGAATCTACAAGCAGGCACTGAAACGGGAAACACATGTTTAATAAGGTATTAAAAAAAAGGGGGGGCGCCTAAAAGAAACTCTTAACAATTATACTGATGGGAGAGGTCAAAAGTGCTGGACTGGGTTCCAGAACTGACATTCAAAACATCTGCACAGGAAAGAATAGAACAGAGGAATAGCCTGTGAGACCCATATGATGTACAAAATATGATCATCATGATGACAGTATTACCTCTTTGAGTAAACCTTCCTTCTCAATTAGTTCGTCTTCATCAAGTGGGGCTGACTGGTCAATCTTGCCTTGCTCTTCTTTACGGATTCTGTCAGCGTCTGCACCGAACTCTGGGTTTTTAGGAACCTGGCAGGTGGATCAATAATCAAGTTTACAATGGATTTACATAATAACCAGAAGCTTTTGCAGAATGTTTGGATAACCAGATCAACAATTACAAGTCGAGACTGAAAAACTACTGAACAAATAACATTACCAAACAGACCAAAAAAAACCTTGTCTTATTTTCATATGGTTATTATTGGTCATTTTGACACATCTTACATTTGATAGATTAGAAAGATAAATAATGGATAAATAGACAATTTAGTGGATGCATGATTGGATAGACAGTTGGATGAAGGCTGACGGTATCTGCAACTTTTACAGTGTTAGTGGGGGGGGGGGGTGTTGAATCTAGCGGCTGCATGTCTAGTTCTGTTGCCAACACTTGTGCAGATTAAGATTTTATTTCTGCCCCCCCCCCCCCCCCCCCCCCCAAGAAAAAATCCACAACCTCCCCCCCCCCCCCCCCCCCCCCCCCCCCCCCCCCCCCCCCCCCCCCCCCCCCCCCCAGAAAAAATCCACAACCTAACCAAGGATTTGAACCTGGGTCTCTCAACCGTTCAACCAGCTGCTCTTTGATCAACAAACAGACAGACAAGGAAGCAGACAGACCAACAGTGTTCATAAACACTTTATTTGAAGGCAAGTCATGAAAAAAGTAGATACATAAAAGACACGCAAAGTATAAGACTTTTTTGTGTGTAAATTTAACACGTGTCCTCTCCGCAGTGAAGGTTGGCAGCAGTGTATCAACTGCTGTCTCTGGGAATATTATGGGGTGAGCTGACCAATCTCTTCCAGGGCATGACCCTCAAATCCCTATATGAAAACTGGGGAACCGCCCATTTAACATCAGTAAATAAAATACAAAACTCCGAACATTATCACAGGTGTACATCCCATCGCATAACAAACTGACAAAAACAACATACACTGTACCTTGAAGACACACACACAATGTACACAGTATCTGGTAGTCACACAAACAATGTACACAGAACCTGGTAGCCACACAAACAACGTACACAGTACTCGGTAGTCACACAAACAACGAACACAGTACTCGGTAGCCACACAAACAACGAACACAGTACCTGGTAGCCACACAAACAATGTACACAGTACTCGGTAGCCACACAAACAATGTACACAGTACCTAGTAGCCACACAAACAACGTACACAGTACCTGGTAGCCACACAAACAACGAACACCGTGCTCGGTAGCCACACAAACAATGTACACAGTACCTAGTAGCCACACAAACAACGAACACAGTACTCGGTAGCCACACAATGTACACAGTACCTAGTAGCCACACAAACAACGTACACAGTACTCAGTAGCCACACAAACAATGTACACAGTACCTAGTAGCCACACAAACAACGTACACAGTACTCAGTAGCCACACAAACAATGTACACAGTACCTAGTAGCCACACAAACAACGTACACAGTACTCGGTAGCCACACAAACAATGAACACAGTACCTGGTAGCCACACAAACAACGTACACAGTACTCGGTAGCCACACAAACAACATACACAGTACCTAGTAGCCACACAAACAACGTACACAGTACCTAGTAGCCACACAAACAACGTACACAGTACTCGGTAGCCACACAAACAACGTACACAGTACCTAGTAGCCACACAAACAACGTACACAGTACCTAGTAGCCACACAAACAACGTATACAGTACCTAGTAGCCACACAAACAACATACACAGTACCTAGTAGCCACACAAACAACGTACACATTACCTTGTAGCCAATAGTCTTCCTGAAGTAATAGATCTCCTTGTCCAGAAGCTCAAACAGGCGCGGTGGGAAGAACTGGAAGTCTTGGATGCTGGGCTGTTTGGGTGGACGAGGCGCCTGGGGAGGTGGAGGCACAGGCTATACATACAGGACTTTCAACAAGGACATCAATAAAAGAACAAGTAGAAACAGGAGATCTCTGAGAAGTTACAAGTTAAGGAAGTGAGTTGTCAGTTTTAGAAGTGATATATGCGAGGTTAGAAGTGTTAGCAGCAGGCTGAGAGCAGCAGTTCCCAGTATCATCAACATCTCAGTCTCTTACAATGAAGTCTCAAAAGCATCAAGGATAAGTCTCATTAGACATTCTCATTTAGCACCCTAAAAAATATGAAAGATCTCTGTTTAGCCACTCAACAAGCTGAAACAAAAGAATAATAATAATGATAATAAAACACAATTCATCAGACAAATTTTTTTTAAGGTGAATCCGTCTCATTAGACACACCAAACAAACAAAAAAGATCCTTCTGTTTAAACAGATCCTCAACATGTACAAAACATAAAAGATTTGTCTGATTAGTTAGTTAGTCTTTCCTCTTGTGCCTAAAGCGGCGCAGAGGGCAGAGGTCATAGTTCTCCATGTCTGGCGGTTCATTGAGACCTGATTTAAGTCTTGGATGTTCATTAGGCCCATGGTTGAGCCTTCCCTGATGACGGTTCTACTCAGAGTCTCTCTTGGTCTTCCCAATTTTCTTATCCTTTTTTTCCAGGTTACAAAATCTAGAAAACATAAAAGATCTGCCGCATTAGACAGACTCAAACAATCTAAACATGAAAGATCTTATAAATCTCCCCACAGACAAATAGCCATCAACAGACAGAGTTGACAAACCTTGGGTGCCTTGGGTTCACTGACACGCAGTGCCTCTCTGAAGTAAGCATCAACAGCATAATTGGCTTTTCGCTCTCTCTTGGGAGGCTCGATCCAGGCCCCAATGGTGCCCAGCTTGTGTTTCTCCCTGTAGTCCTCGCCTTCAAACTGGTACACACTGTCTGGAGCATCCATGGTGAATGTCCGCAAGCTGCTCTCGCCCAGTTGGTCCATCTTTTCCTTCAGCTCATTGGTCTGTGTCAAGGCAGAATAATATATATTAGTTATTTACTGCACAATATAAAGTTTTTTAAATACACAAGGTTTGATTAATTTTCTCATATTCACATTCTCTCACTGATGTTTAGCCATTTCTCCCAGATTACATTCTCTCACTGATGTTTAGACATTTCTTCCAGATCACATTCTCTCACTGAATTCAGCCATTTCTCCTAGATCACATTCTCTCACCGATGTTTAGACATTTCTTCCAGATCACATTCTCTCACTGATGTTTAGCCATTTCTCCCAGATCACATTCTCTCACTGATGTTTAGGCATTTCTTCCAGATCACATTCTCTCACTGAATTCAGCCATTTCTCCTAGATCACATTCTCTCACCGATGTTTAGACATTTCTTCCAGATCACATTCTCTCACTGATGTTCAGCCATTTCTCCTAGATCACATTCTCTCACCGATGTTCAGCCATTTCTCCCAAATCACGTTCACTCACTGATATTCAGCCATTTCTCCCAGATCCATTCTCTCACTGATATATTCATTTCTCCAAGATCACATTCACTCACTGATGTTCAGCCATTTCTTCCACATCACATTCTTCCACTTTAAGTTTAACAAAAAAAAAAAAACAACTGCATTATCTGCTGCTGATGTGTGTTAGGTGGGCAAGAAAGAGAGAAAGAAACAGGAAAGGGATAGAGAGTAGATAAACACAGAAGCAAATGTTTATTCTGACTGCTATGATAAGTACTGCCTGATCTTCCTTCATAGAAGACAGTATAGTCAGCTGAGAGTGTAAAGAGTTTCATATCTGTCACGTACCTTCTTCTCTCCCCTGGCCAAGATGGCATCAATGTCTTCGTCAGTAATCTCGCTCTCCTTGGAAGCAAAGACGTGACTGGCTCCGTGCCGGATCATGTTCAGAACCTCATCCTTGCCCAGTTTGCTGGCGTTGTGGTCAACCAGACGGCCTGATGACAATAAAATCTTTTACTATGTAATATACTGAAACCAATAAGAGTTATTTAATCACTATGCCTCTGCAACCCTACAGTGTAGAGGGCCCTTCTCTATGGTTCTGCGGGGTTTTTGTTTTCAATCTCAGGCAAAATCCTCTCTGGATTGTGGTGAATGAACAGACAAGTTTTTGTACCTAACACAGATCACATTCCCCCACAATAAAATACTGTAATACCTTGTTAGGCCGAACATGCTTCAGAATAACACTCAGGTAACAAACACATTTTCGTTCCTAGTAGAGATATATTACTGATGGTTCCCAATCAGCACAATTCTTTTGTTTTTAAACGCTTGATTTTTAGTCCTGAGGATTTTCATATCAGTTACAATGGTCTGGACATGTATGCAGAATAGGAGTAAATCGGCCACCATGGCAGGCATGGAAGTCTAAGAACCAGACTTCAGGTCGACCCAGGCTCTGCTGGCAAGACAACATCCGACAGTCCCTAACTGACAGAGAACTGGAATGGAACAAAGCCAGAAAGAAAACAGCTGATAGAGAAGACATCTGGCGATCTCTCTGGCAAACCTCTATACCGTAAGGTAGAAGACTAGCGACTAAGTAAGTAATTTGTATTATAGATGTTTTTCTTTAATATGATGGAGGTAGAACCATCAGGGCACTGTCACTGCTCCTAACATTGGTGTTTCTGGGCTATCGGGCATGAGTCGCCCGGAGCAGGCACCTTGTAAATAGTTGGCTAGGTTGTTTTGTCCATGCTCTGGAGACTGCCCCTGTGAGTGTGTTTGGCAGGAAGTAGTAGGCTTGACCGTGAGCCATTGACCCCCAATTCATTCATGCCGCAATGAGTTCGTCCATAATAAGGAGACTGATAGCACTATAAGATCATACTTGGCATGGTGTAGTACATTACAGCGTTCTTAGACAATGTAAGTGGTTGCGAGAAGACATATAACAGGTAAATTTTATTTGTTAACTTGCTATGTGCGCCTACTTATTGTTGCTGGCCTCTCCTTGCGAAACCTAATAGCCGTTTTGTCATCCGAGGAAGCTCCTGTATGTGACTGGAGTAATTCATTCACACTGGGCGCTTGGCAAGATGTGTTCCCTTCTAGAAACACATCTAACAGGCTCTCACTGTTGCTACTTTGACCATGGCACCACTACATATTGTGATTTTGTGCTCCTATGATTTTCAAATTTGGTCACCAAAAATCGTCCAATGATCTTACCTTGCTGTATGACAACGTTGTCCAGTCGCAGCTTCATCTCTGCCCTTTCCACAATCCTCTCTTCTATGGTGTTCTCTGTGATGAACCTGAACACATGCACTTGTTTCAGCTGCCCAATTCGATGTGCACGATCCTAAGAAATAATCAACAGGCTCTCAGTTTTATATCTAACACAAGACTACAAACATGTAAAAAGGTCCCCGGACATGGTGCAAAACACAGGCATGGGCAACTGGTTGAATTAATACAGAAATGCACATGAGGACTTGTACTATCTTCTTTGTTCAGATATGCTGTCAAAGGAAATGGGAATTGAATTAGAAAAACAATAGATGCTTTGATTTACTGTTGTAAAGAGCCAACATCAAGTTTAACAGACACAGTACATGCCAACATATGTGATGAAAAAACTGATTTTGTTGATGTGCTTCTGCTCTGCTCAGCATGACATGCCATGTTTGTGTCCGGCAGAGATTTCTGGGGGATGAAGGCTTTGCAGTGGACACAAGAAAACTGGCGCCAAACTGCATCTAAACTCTGCCTAACTTGTTCTTTGAGAACTAGCTACAGTGTAGACCTGATAGAAGAAAACTTGCCAGAAGCCTAGAACTTGTTGTTCTTATCAGAAATTCCTCTTATCCAGAAAAAAAAAAATCAAGCAAGAAAAACTGCTACAACAGAAATTCATCTCATATGAGATCGCTTTAAACGGTTGACACTGTACTTCACTTTCCACAATCATGTAACAAATATCATCAAACAGATATCTGCAAGATGTTATAACACAGAACAAACATCAAACAGTTTAGTTCAGAAAGATACTAAAACACAGGACAAACATCAGAAAGTCTGATTCAGCAAGATAGTAAGACACAGAACAAACATCAAACAGTTTAGTTCAGAAAGATACTAAAACACACAACAAACATCAGAAAGTCTGATTCAGCAAGATAGTAAGAACAAACATCAAACACTTTGATTCCATAAGACAGTACATGTAAAGCTTACCATGGCCTGAAGATCCACCTGTGGGTTCCAGTCAGAGTCGAACAAGAGGACGATGTCTGCGGTGGCCAGGTTTATACCCAGACCTCCGGCCCTGGTGCTCAGCATGAAGATAAACTTGCGACTTTCAGGGTGGTTGAAGTCCAGGATTGATTTCTACAGAAGGATAATGAGGCAAAGTCTAATGATGTTCAAAACACAAGAGTACTTGATAGTATTTTTTTTTAAAGTGTCAACATTAGCGTTCAGTGTCAATGTTAGCAGCGCAGAGCTCAATTCCCAAATGTCATTTCTAAAGAATGAAAGTATACTACTAAACTTATCTTGTCTTGGAAACTGAAATATTTTGACCAAATTAAGTGCCAAGGCAGATTAGACAGAATAATAGCAGAAGCCACTGTGAATTGGAAAGTAGTAGAGGCCACAGTACTAGGAAAGAGGGGCAGGGGCTGACCAGCAGGCAGATGGGCACAGAATATAAGTGACATTCCTTGGGTAGGAAAGTGCATGGGGCAGGAGAGCTGGCAAGAGACCTAGTCTGTGATGAGACTGAGGTTCTGCAAAGGACACGCTACAGGATGATGATGATGAAAAAATGTATAGTTAAAATTCAAGATCAGGTTATAGAAATGAGATAATCATTGTTAGCTGATGTCTCAATTCTAGAATACATGTATACTGAATGAAATGAAAGCACTACAATTTTACGATCTTTTCATAAAGACATACAAAGATAAATATTCTGGTGGCTTAATTCCAAAACATTTTATAAATAATAAACACTAAACTGAAATGCACAGTTAAGCATGAGCATGACATGACAACAACAAAAAGTTAATGTCATGTTATCACTGATTACCTCTAGTTCACAACTACAGATTTAGAGTGACCGACTTCAGCCAGGTTGTTTTTTTCCAACTGATCTGGAGGGTAGAGGGCCTATGCTCCACTAACAGATAAATGGCACAAGCAAACAAGCACACTGAACAGAAAAAACATTGACAAACTGATGCTGGTGTTGTACCTGTCTTTCTTCATGCGGAGTCTGTCCATCCAACCTGCAGTACTCGTAGTTTCTCCAGAAGCAGTAATCCTCCAGGATGTCCAGCATTCTGGTCATCTGGCTGAAGATGAGCACCCTGGAACCTACACATGGCAAAGATGACCATTAACTCTTTCAGCCACATCAATTTTCATTAAATTTTACCTCGAAAATTCTAACCACTTTCCTTGTAGAAATGAAAAATGAATAAAAGATACTTCTATGGCTGCCTGATTAAATCTGTATACACTGACCAAACTTTAAATGTAAGAAGAGACTTGATGTCGTGGGTAATAGTCAGTAACAACATGTGTTTGGGAGTGAAAAGGTTAAGAAGTTGTGTAAAGCGGAACAGTACAATCACCATGGGAGAAGATGATTGGGAAGGACAATGAGGGCAGCAGAAGACAGCATAGGAGAAAAGAAGACTTTGTGTGGGTTCAGGAGAAAAAATAAGCAGCCGGGTTCGAATCCTTGATAAGGTCGTTGCTGATCTGTTTTTGGCAAAAATAAAACCCTAACCTGCAGTTCATGACAGCACTGGCCAGGCGTCCCTAAACCTTCAGGCTTAAAGACCGCACTGCTCACGGTGGTAAATACAATCAGCAATGGCAAATTTCTGGGCACAAAAGAAAATGTAGAAGAAGAGAAAGAAGTGAATGAACCCATTTTATTGTTATCTTATTTTCTTTTGTTAAGGAAGACATTATAAACATTTCCCACTCGTACCTTCAGCCTTCAGTCGAGGCAGCAGTTTGTCAAGGATGACCATCTTGCCACAGTTCTCTACCAGGTGGAAGTCTGTGGTGTAAGGGGGGCCTGAAACAATACAGTGGATTTACAGTAGGTATTAAACAGTATAGGTGCACATCAGTTTGAAAACCATTCAACAGATTCTCAGAAACACTAGAAGGAAACCGGCTGAACAAAAGACCTCCGCTCACCTTACTTCACATAAAATGGTGAAGCTGTTCTATTCTTTCTGGATATGTGGGACGCAAGGTTACAAAATTACACGCACAATGGAATTCAATGCGTCAAATTTTTATTAAGAGGTAGAATCACTCTCCCAAGGCACCAGATTGAAATCCAGCAATAATCAAGTTCCAGTACCAGTCTTATCCACCTTGCCGGTTTCCTAGTTTAAAGAGGGGCTGCCAGGAAGACCTCAATCTGATGGTAGTTTGGTACAAATCAGTGAACGGCATTTATGCAAAGCCTCATTCCATCAGTTGTAAGTCCTAGTCAGGCCTCGGATGACCTGAACACTATTGTACTGGTGAATTTGCAACAACCACCAAGTTGTCATCCAGAGAGATGCTGCAACAGCTCCACCAAAGAAAAGTCTCCACTAACAGAAACTGAAAAGCTACTGTATTAGGAGCAGGATCCCTGTGTCTAAGTGGTTAGGCCGTCTGATTGCACTTTGAAGGTAAATGGGTCATTGCACGGACTTTGTCCAGTTCATGAGTACAGTTTTCAATGGAGATCCTCCTGCTGGCCATTCTGCAGAAACTAACTGACTCATACAAGATAAGACCAGGTACAATGAGGTCAACTTTTTACCTTACCTCTCAACCTATACACCTTTATTGGTTTACAAGGTTACAGAGGTAACCATAGCCTGTGCCTGCACAGAATAGAAGGAATTTAATGGTATGACAGAATCACTAATGTTGAGCTTTGGGAGAGAACTAAACATGTTTCAGTGGACTAGGAGGTGAAGAAAAGGTGCTGGTTTTGGATAGGACATGTGTTCAGAAAACCTGAGAACAATATAACCTGAGTGTCTTTGCACTGGAACCCACATGGGCATACAAATAAAGGAAGACCCCAAAATAAAAACTTGGAGAAGAGAGCTAGAGAGAGAAGTTAAAACGAGAGGAAGGACAAGCTGCATTCAACAGTAAAGGATAGAACAACTTGATGAGAGTTGGTTGTAAGACCAGGTATAATTAGGTCAGTCCTCTCAAATTTACACCTTTATTATTTTACAAGGTGGCAGAGGTAACAATAGCTAATACGAGATTTAAAAGAAAATGAAAACTGACCTGGCTCCATTCCATCAAACAAGTATGGATGGTTGCAACACTTCCTCAGCTGCATCAAAATGTTCAACAGTCTCATTTTGTCGGAGCGCCCAGCCCCATTCACCACATCAATGTCTTTCATCAAGATTTTGGTGTACCTGAAATCATTGCACACCAAACAAACAAGATGTGAAATATACATATATCATGACAGTTGAAATTCTACATCTTTTAAAATCTAATAGATTTCAATCATGTTATTGTTGAAAAGAAAGTCATTTCCAATGCTCATATTTATTTATGATATGATAACGTGTAACTGGAATATCTGACGTTGTCCTGCACCTTTTAACCCCTAATTTGGCAACCACCCAATTTATTAGCTAGAAGGAGAAATTTTCAAAAATTCTTCTTCTTCTTTATGTTTACCAGCTGTAAATGTCTCTGGTTGTTTATCCAATTCTGGACTTTAGTACTGTTTCAGAACTTCAGTTCTGCGTGTATATTTGTTCTACAGATCTGGTTTATTTGTATGCAGACTGATGGTTCCTCACCTCTTAGGCAATTGCACTCCAGCTTCGAAAGAAAAGTCCCTAATTAGTCCTCTATGCCATGCTTGTTAGGGAACAGTGGGTCTATTCTTTTTTTTTCTTTCTCCACAACAGAGCCTGAGGTCTAGGCACAGGAATTTTCCCACATAAAACAAGCAAATCAAAAATGCTTACAATTCTCGCTGCATTTTACTCAAGCCAATAAACACCTTGGTCTCTTTCTTTGGCAGCAGCTTTTTCTCCACATCAGATTTGATTCTTCTCAACAAAAATGGTCGCAGCACCTGAGTGGAAAGTATTCAACAGAGTTACATCTTGTAACTTACAAAAGCAAATATTTAAAATTGGCTTGCATAGAATACACGAGCCCAGGTTAACCCCACAAATAAAATTACAAAACAATAACATAATGTGGAAAAATTAACCACATAATAAACAGAAAACACTATCCACACACATGACAAAACTACAAAAAAATTTAATTTAAGAAAATCAACATAAACAAAATTTGCCTAGAGAGAGGGGAGGGAGGGACGGGGGGGGGGGGGGGGGGGGGGGGGGGGGGGGGTAGTAGAAGGTATTCATACAGTTTAATGAAACAGCACACTTACTGAACTGAGCCACACTTTTTTAATGACCCTGGCTCCAAATTCAGCCCAGTATTAAATGAAAACCAAGTTAAGTTCCAGGAAGTAAAAGCGGCCTCCAGGATGCTGACTATATTCTCCACCAAGTGCCGACTGGTCTTTAAAATACAAGCCTAACCTTATAAGCCCGATATGCTTGAAGGTGTGAAAAGGACAAATAAACACACGAACACACATGTAGATAGGGACTGATGTACACACACACAATAACTTACATCATGAAGCCTCTGCACCAGCTCCTGATCCCCAAGGCAATTGTTGGCATTAAACCACGAATCAAAATCCTGCAATGGGAAGAATCATGTAGCCATGAATACAAACTCAAATATGTGAAATTTACCAAATTAAATAACTGTAACATACACAATCTCTGAACTGGACATCAATCAATCACAAGCCATCTCCACAACATTCTTTCCTTTCTTGTGTTTTTGTATGTTGGTGTCTGCTCTTTATTGGGCAGGTGGTTTGTTGTGGTTTACAGCTAGGATGCTAGCTCTGCACCGGCCCAACACATCCAATTTCAAGTAAACCCTAATTAGTTATCTTTTAAGACAAGCAAGTTAGGGAGGCAGTGGATCGATTCATTGTTACCTCTACAAATAGGGCTCCAGAACCCACACACTTAATCTGCACAATGAAATATGACCATGTTTCTATCTCCCACACAGGTGACACAGTGACAGACTGGTGTCACAATGATACACTGGTGGCACAGTGACACACTGGTGACACAATGATACACTGGTGGCACAGTGATAGACTGCTCCACACCTATCCATTAATCTCATCCTATCTACCCCTTGCTTACCTGCCTTCATCATTTCTTCCAAATGTGGTTTTTTCTTCTTCAGCGTAACCTAGCCATGCACTGAATCCATTATGAGCCTTTTCTTGTTTGTTTTGTGTTCTCTCTCTCTGATTTATACCGACAAGTTTTTGTGATAAACATGACTTTTATGAGTTCCCCTTTAGTTCCATAGAATTCTGAGTATAGTGTTGACTTAGTGAGCCAGTATTCCCTTCATAATTGGCAATACAAGGGACATTTTTGCAGGACATGTTCTGTAGTGTGCACACACAGCCCACATGGGCACAATGGCGAACTACTTAGACAAAGCTTATGCATATGCTTGTTAAGTTTGTTATGTCCTATCCTGATGTGTAGAATAATGACCTGTCCATGCCGGTCAAGTAAGTTGTGGTCATCTCTGGCCAGTTTCTGTTCACTTATGATAGGCTGGACTGTCCATTTTCTTCTCTTAGTATGTTACTGCATTCTCTTCCTGGTCACATTCTGCCCCTTTGTTTACAAGTTTATTCACGGCTTCATTTGCTGCTATACCACAGTGGAATGGCACAAACTGGAGTATAGCACCCTTTTGGGCAGCCAGCTTGCCAAGTTCAGGTCTCAGGTGAGGGAGTCTACCCCTCTTGAGGGCTTGGAGCACCGATAGCGCATCTATGAAGATGACCACTTGGTGGCAGTCAGAACTGGTTTTGTGAAACTTTTAGGCAGCCTGCTCTAGTGCTACGATCTCTGCTGTATAGTTGGAACAGAATTTACCAGTGGGTATCCACTTTGTGTGGCAGGGGTTGTCTGGGTATGTACTCCAGCACCCCCATTTTTAACTGCACTGGTTGCTGATCCATCTGTGTAAACATGTATCCACGACTGTTCGGCATAGTTTTTGTGACTCATGATGCTAAGAGCAGCTGTTCATCTTTGAAGGTCATTGGACTCATCTCCAGCAGTGAGTCCACTGACGGAAGTCATTTTCTGTATTGTGTCACTGGCTTGCTTACAAGGTACAGGGTATAGGGTAAGTTTCAGCGATGTTGTTCACATGGGTAGATCTGCTTGCCAAGACATGACAAAGCAGGAGATATAAGAACCAGCTCAATGTTGTTAGTTGCAGCAAAGGTGTGAAAAAGACACAACAAACGCATTAACATAAAATAGGACAGACCACTGACAACAATGCCATTCGAGAGAACACACCAGCTTACCTCTGAATTGTTGAAGACATCAGGCAAGAGAAAGTTCAGCAGGGCCCACAACTCGTGCAGGTTGTTCTGCAGTGGTGTACCTGTTAGCAACAGCCGGTTTGTGGATTTGAACTCTCGGACAATCTCTGACAACTGGTCAAAAGAGGTAAATATTTATTTTTAAACATTGTATATTATTTTTAATAACATCTGATCACTTGTGAACAGCGATCAACATCATCATCATCTTGAAATTCTATTATATCTTATATAGAGTTACAGTCTAATCCTCTGTTTCGTTCTATCCTGTGCGATATCATGGATAGATTATAGATGGAATCCAGTCTAGGACCTTTGGCGTCTCTCATCAATATTAGGGTTTCTCAGAGATGTCCTCCCTTCTTCGACCCTTTGTTTCCCATTTCAGCACCTGTTTGTTGATTCTCTGCTGGCTTCTCAAAATATGCCCAATATAGTGCTATCTTCTTCATCTTATAACTGTAGATACCCGCATTTGTATTAACTTTAAATGACCTACTGGCAGTATAGGGTATTTGTAGTCTCACTACACTTGGTATGCAGAAACAGTCAGAAAAACTCAAGTACATGAGGTCATCAGAAAACTGTGCTTAAAAAAGTAATAAAATTAGTTACAATAGTCACTGCTCTGGTCAAATGCTGTTTTGGGGAAGCTCAAAGTAGCAAACAATGGAATATTTATTATAACGGGTGTTGGAAAAGTTCACCTGGGCTTCAGGACATGACTGTACACATCTGTTCCTATTGTCAAATACTTCCTGCACCATATTTGTTGACATTTGTTGAATGGTAATTCAGACTGCTTCCACTGACAACACCGTTCTGTGTTGAGTGCAAAACCATTACCCCAGCAGACGACAGGCATTCACTGCAGAATGGTTCGCGACTGACTGTGCGGCACATTTATTTTACTGTCCCATGTACTTCGTTTTTCACATTTCTTCTACATATGAAGTACAGTGAAATTTTACAAACACCCTATTTATTTGTAATAAAAATCGTGTCTGAACATACATTAATTGTGGACACTCATGCGGGATCTAAATGTGTCACATATAACCAGAACAAAAATGGCAATACTACCAGATTTGGTAGACAGAACTGTTCTCCTGCCTTAAACCGTTCTTCCTTCTTTGGTCTGTATTGGCTAATTCTTCAAGTCTAAAGTCAGTGGAGTGTGTAAGACAAGTTATGAAAATGTAACATATATAAATGAAGTCAATGAGCCATGCTTGCAGCAGATTATACTAACATATGCAAATTACAGCGGATGAAATCTGTATCCCGCATCCAATTAGAAATTTAAATTTAGACATCTTGGGTTGGCCTGTCCACACACACACAAAAACACACTCAAAAGCTAGAATTGTTCTACAGCATACTTCTAATTTACATATAGCTTACTTTAGATTTCTCGTTCTTGATCCTATGAGCTTCATCAATGACTATGTATCGCCAGTTGAACTTCTTCATGACAGACTTTTCACGGATGCACATCTCGTAGGAGGTTATGCACACGTCCCATTCACCGGGAACAAGGACATCTCGAATAAAGGCAGCCTGGATATTTTTTTTAGTACAAAATAATTTAAAATTAGATTATTTAGGCATCATTCATACTGTTGTTTCTATATCATTCTACAAAATGACTGCAGACACTGAACACATTGGCGTGGCGCGGTGATTTCGGTCACAGGCATGAGGCAAAGTTAAGTCTGCTGTGAGGTGTATAAGGAGATACTCCGTACCCCACTCAGGCGCCAGTCCTTCACTGTTCTGGTTTTACGGAACCTCATGCAAGACTCCTGTTGTACGTCCCCGTCGTGCGCCACGGATAATGTCTCAAATGAGCATTAACGGAGTTGGCAGGGGATCTCGGAGCTGGCGGCCCCCAAAGGTGTAGTGTCCTTTCTGGCTCTCACCAGCCCGCCCCCAAACGCATGGGTGAAAAGTTTAACAAAACTCAAAATTGCTTGCTAAATGTACCATCAAATGACAACTCTTGGTTAAAATTCGGGAGGGAATTTAAAACTGTGCTGCTGAGACTCAACCCTGACCGAGAGATTTACCCGCAACCAAGACGAGTAACATCTCTTGTGGGCGACTTCTCGCAGCAAGATCCTACCTACGTACATCCTCTGTCAATCCTCAGTGTCGTCGTCACCGCGCTGAGGTACACCACGGCAGCAACTTTTCATATGCTGGTTTGGAAATAATGTCCGACAAAGTTATACCCCACGGCACACATGCAAGCACAGGGTCCGACGATCATAATTCGTACCGATTAGGAAAAAGTCCGAATGTCCGTATCCACTGGTCCAACTCGCCCGAGTGTTGGGACCAAACAGGTGAAGCCACGCCTGACGCATTTTGCTTCGCAATTTTGTTGTGCTAAGGGCACAGCTGAAACAACGTTAAAGGTGTCTAACGTAAGATGAAAAAGAATGTACCTATTTGTGTGGCCACAAACGTCCTAGACCTGCGGGCTGCTCCCCGCTGATCTCCGGAGGGCGCAGCCTTGTAGAGCGGGAAGCTCAATACACGGTTGTGAGGTTAAGCAGTCATGGGCAGGACGTGACTATTCCTTGGGTGAGCCCAGAACCAGAGCATCATGTGTCGGCTCTGCATTTATGAAAGCCTCCTTGGATGGCGGGGAATGCCTATGATCTGCCCCTGCCTTCCCTTGAGGGCTGAAAACTCTACATAGAGCTGCCTTAAGGACGACATGCCGGGGGCCACACCTGTTTAAAGTCAAAGAGGACACCACACAAATGAGGCAACATCTCGACCCACACAAAACAATGGCCACAGTCAACCTAGAAATAGGCTTGACGTCTTCCTCCGAAGTCGGAGTACATCTGCCGGAGAGGCGGGGAACGAGTACTGCAAACAAATAAGCCAGTAAACCGGATGTACACGCAAAACTCAGGTCAAGGTCAAAGCCAAAAGTCCATTTTGGACGAACAACCGCGACTTACCGCCGGAATTCACAGCCGGTGAACAAGAAGAAGAAGAAGAAGAAGAAGAACACATTGGCAGAACTGAATAATTAACTATAATCAAGAAATGATACAAGAAAATAAACAAGAGATATGCCCTTATTTTATTTTATTTTATTTTAAATATTTTTTTCTTTTTTTGTGTGTGATTTGTTTTGATGTCCGCCTTGTCTAACTTAGTATTTTTATTTAAGAAATGGTTTTCTAGGCAGGCAGGGAAGGACACATCAGACAGTCCTTGACTGACAGAGAACTGGAACGAAACAAAGCCAAAAAGAGAACTGCGGATAGAGAAGTATGCTGATCTCTCTTGCAAACATCTACACCCCCGGGTAAAAGATGATCAACTAAGTAAATTTCTTTTTCAGTGGGACAAAAGTTTAACAAAATTCTACAGACTTAATCAAGGACTGTTTGACAGCAGCATTTAAAAATGAGTTGTATCTACACCCTGAAGTAGTAGGCAAGAATGTTTGTTCTAATAATTCTGTCTCTTTTAATACACTGTACTAAATATTCCTACTATTCTGTGTATGCCCTTTCAAGGGTGGTTGGCACACTGTGTTATGGTACACAGCAATGCTGTGCTTTGTGCATCTTTTAATCCTACACATCCAGTTTCATCAAACAACAAATTAGTGTTATAACCTTCCCCCCCCCCCCCCTCCAATGGGGTGCCGGAACCCCACACAGGGATCACTGAAGGGATCCAATGACACTTTCCAATCAGACATGAATCTCCAAAACTCCAATGGAACATTGTGGTTGCTGGTTCCTCACCTCTTAGGTAAATGAACTGTGACTTGAAGGAAACAGCCCTAAATTGTCACCTTGTAGGACATGCTTGTTAGGAAGGCAGTGGGTCTCAGTCCCCCCCCCCCCCCCCCCCCCCCCCCAAAAAAATAGTTCCCAGAACCAGCAACTGGGAAGAAATAAATCAAACGCCTGAAGTTGAAGCTTACCCTTTTTTCCTGATCACCAGTTAAACAGACAGCTCTGAGAGATGGAACCCAGCGCAAGCATTCTGCCTCCCAGTTGGCCAGCGTGGACTTGGGACAAATGACCAGATGAGGCGATGGAATGTTCCGGTAATGTTTCATGTATCCCAGCAAGGAAATGGTCTGTAGTGTCTTGCCTAAACCCTGGAGACATTCAACATTTCAATATATAAGAGCAACATTGCTGAACTAATCAAAGATAAAGAGAATCGACTTTACTGCACCGGGATTTATCCTGTGTGGCTCTGTCTCTCTCTCTCTCTGTAGAACGGCTAACTGCCTGCTGAAAGCGTCGCACAAAGCACAAACTTTGTAGGTCCGGTGACGATCCCCAGGGATCTCTATAAAAAATGCACTGGTGAACTGACCGCTTCCGCCATCAAATTAATCCATGACCTTCAGTGCACAAGGCAAACAGCATGATCACTTCGCTATGGACTCTTGTTGAACTATTCAAAAATCCACATATTTAAAAAACTGTCATCAATTCTCTCAGGACTAAAACGTTTTGCATGAGATGGCCAAAGGTACATACGTAACCATTATAAAAAAATCACATGTGCTTTATACAAAAACTAAACACCGGGGAGCCAGATCTCTGTAGTCTGCTATGGCCACATGTAAATAAATACATATGAGAATTAGATAGTGGGTGGTATTCACAGAACAGCTAATCACACATCACACCACACTGTTTAGGAGTGAAAGAGTTCATGTCAGTATCTACCACAGTTTGGGCTAGTGTATGAGAGGTAGGTCGTGAGCCTGAGGATTTATGCCTGCATTGACATGTGGTGATGCCACGAACTGTGCAGGTAATGAACTTGTATTTTTGTCCCTGGACAAAAAAACAAAAAACCTCCATTTTTCCAGGAATCGAACCTGTGTCTCCCTCACTACAGGCACTAGCACTATCTACGGTTATCCAAATGTGAACTGAAATGTATGGGGTTCTACAACATTTGACCCTGTAAGCTACCTACGCAGCTGAAACCCTTCAATAGTTGCACAATGCCCTAACACCTGTCTCAAACCACCTAACTCACTAACAGTTTTAAAATACTACAAGAGTCTTTAACTGATCCTTCTATAATATACTTTCATTATGTCATAACAACTTTCATCATATAGTATAGTTTCATTATGTCATAACAACTTTCTTTCATAAGTATAGTTTCATTATGTCATAACAACTTTCTTCATCATATAGTATAGTTTCATTATGTCATAGCCCATCCTTGTAAAATATAGTTTTATAATGTCAAAACCTGTCTCATATAAACACACACACACACAGATAAAATACCATTTCATCAGCCAAAATTCCGTTGATTCCATTCTCATACAATGATATCATCCAGTTAAGACCTCGAATCTGATAATCTCTCATCTCACCCCCTTTTACGTCTGAAAAAAAAAAAAAATATATTTTATGAAAATGAAAATCCAGTCTGGCCTAATGATGGTCACAGCAGCAGCGAGGAGGAGATGTAAGAGAGACAGGAGAAAAGAAGCCAGGAGGAGATGTAAGAGAGGCAGGAGAAAAGAAGCCAAGGAGGAGATGTAAAAGAGGCAGGAGAAAAGAAGCAGCAAGGAGGAGATGTAAGAGAGGCAGGAGAAAAGAAGCAAGCAAGGAGCAATGAACAGTGCCAAGAGTAAACCTCAGCAGTGTTGCTAAAAGAAAAGGGTTGGACACTGGCTAGCATGCTTGTCCGCCCACCCTGTGGTCAAAAGACAAACCGGGTGCCCATGAAGACCCAGGCAATGTTCTCAGCCGTATCACCCTCTAAGTGCCGAATGGCTTCTAAAACTATGAGAACAGCATCACCCTACCAAATGTACATCACAGCATAGAAACAATTCATTTACTTGTCTATATTGTGTTTGTTTATGCCCATATTCTACTTTGTGCTGGAGGTTAACAGATGATCAATATCTAAATTAAGGCACTCCCTGTATGCTGTGATGTTGTGGAGTCTCATGGTATCAGTCATGCATTTAATCCATCTTCTTTGTCTTCCCCTATCTCTTGGTGTTTCTACTTTCATGTTGTACACTCTTGCTGGTATCAGTGTATTTCCTCTCATTCAATTGCCAAAACATTTTGCTCTTTATTTTTCAACTGATTTAATAAAGATATTGCTCCAATGGTTCTTTCTTCTGGTTTTATAACAAAACCTCAAAGATGATCTGAATGTGAAACCCCCGAAGTCAGCTGACAGTCTGAAAGCCTCCACAAAGGGACTCCTCTCCGTGCCTACAGGGGTAGCAGGCATATAGGGCTAGACCTCTATTTACAGACCAACTGACACTAGCAGGGTGAGATGGTCGGCATCACACTGGCCGCCTTTACTTCCCATGATTGTATACCTGGTACCCATATCAGGCTTTGTCGACTGGGAGCCAGAGTCATTTTAGAAGGGGGAAAGTCCAGCCTCATCAGGACCTGATCTCATGACCTTCTGATTCTCAGGCAAGCATCTAGCCACTACACCGTGGCGCCTCCAATAATACAATACATTTTTTTTTAAACAGTAAGCAAATCTAATGTCAATAACAAATATGACAAAACTGCCAACTTACATGATGGGTTGGCTTCAAATCTCACAAGAACGTTGTTAGATTTCTTGGATTCTGAAAGAAGTTCCTCATCTTCCTCTTCCTCTGTCCTTCGATGACGATGACTGAAAATTCGACAAAAAAGTTACTAATACAAATCCCTTTAAGTAAGCGACATTACAAATATGTATGTCTTTTAGTTCACTGCCTATTTTAGTCATATAGTAGTGTGCACTTGAAATTATGTAAGACAGAAAACTAATAAAAGGGGCACAACAGAGTAGTTTAACACAACATGACAGAAAAAATGTTTTAAAAAAAAGTTAATTGTGTTTGCAGAAACAAGCAGATCTATGTTAAACTGACCAAATGATGAGAAACACAGAACTGGAAATATTATAATAGCCAGAAATCAACTAACGGAAAAGCCACACGGAGAAAAAACACTAAGAGGTCTGGGAAATAGCAGAGAGAGCAGGAGCAGATTGATTCAAAACACCAATGAGCAAGAGTTGTCAAGACACACAAATACCATCCCCATGGGTGTTCACGGTGTCCCCTGATCAAGCTCTGGAACAAAATTAAGTCCAAAACTGGACAAACAATCAGAACTTTCTGCAGAATTTACAACCACTGAACATTTTAAGCATTCTTCTGTAAAACCACATCTCTAGAGGCCTCAGAGATGTGGTTTTACAGAAGTATGCTTAAAATATGGTCAGCCAAAAAGAGCCACCAAGAGGTTTTGAAAGAGGCGGGAGCGCGAAGACAACTTATCACAGACATCAGAAGGAGACAGTCATTTTTCGGCCATGTTATGAGAAGAGGGAAAAAAGAACATGTTGTGACCACTGGAAAGATCTGTGGAAGGAGGGATAGAGGAAGACAACGAGAGAAGATGCTTGACAGTCTTGTTGCATGGCATGGAGGTGTGTCGGCACACAAACTGATATATGCTGCAGGAGATCGCAGATTATGGAGAGGCATGATGAACATAAAGCATCTAGCAAGGCATTTGATGATAATAATACTGTCTGGTAGAGATGAGATCAATGAAGCACAACAAAGGGTACTCACTCTCCTGCTGCAACAAGCTTTGACTTTTCATCGTTCTTGTTGAGTCTTGGACGACCCTTCATCTTGAGAGGGCTGGTTGGACCGCCCCCTCCCGCCAGGGCTCCAGTCTGCATAAAGTGAGCAAACAACTCTGTCTGCTTCAGCAAGAAGTTGAATCTGTTGCTTCTATCCTTCTCCTGTAAAAGGATATGGCCAGCTTTTTTAGCATTTTACAATCAAATAAACTGAACACATAAATAATTTAACCATGACTTGAAGAGAGTATTTTGTCCCCCTTAATTAAGTGTTCAACAAACTGAATGATTTACTGGTTTCACTGCAAAAGACAAGCTACACACATATTGCCAGTTTACTTACTTGTGAGTTCATACAGTGTGTGTGTTCCCTGTGTGGGTTTTGGAGCCCTGTGGTGGGGAAACAAGAATAGGCTGACTGCCTCCCCAACAAGCAGGTCCTAGAAGTCTACTAACAAGGGGCTTCCTTCAAAGTTGAAGTGCATCTGCCTGAGAGGCAAGGAACTAACAGTCTGCATACCAATAAATCAGATCTGTGAAATGGATGTGCATGCAACATTCAAGCTCTATAACAAGACTAAAGTCCAGAAGAGGACGAACAACCAGAACTTTCCACAGGAGTTTACAGCTGGTGAATGCAAAGGAGATATAGTGTGTGGTGGTCCAAGGATAGACATGACTGAACCATTCCATACAATCTGGCTCATCTCCCTTCAAAGAGCCGGTCTTCTAAATGTGTTACACATAGCATAAACTTCTAACTCTAACTTTCTATTGTCATAATGTACTCTAGTTTGTCGATTCCCATGGCACAAATTGATTTTTGGTGCAGGAAACAATGACTTGAAAATGTATTAATTCTAAAATATTAATACTAAAAACAAGAGGAGCTTTCGTAGCACTAAGAAATTTGTGGGGATGAACAGAAATTAAAACTAATGATGAACTTGAAATTCACCATTCTGACATCAGAATAGTACTGCTGAATGGAGCGGAAACGTTGAGAACAACTAATCGAGTCATTAATAAACTAAAAACATTCATCAACTGGTGCCTGCACAGAATATAGGGAATTAACTGGTATGATAGAATCACTAATGTTGAGCGTTGGGAAAGAATTTAACAAGTTCCAGTGAACCAAGAGGTGAAGAAAAGATGCTGTCACTGGATAGGACACATGTTAAGAAAACCTGAGAACAATATAACTAGAATGTCTTCGCACTGGAACCAGAGAAATAATGGCAGATCAAAGAATGGAGAAGGGAGCTATAGAGTGACGTCAGAAAGATGGGGAGGCAAGGGGTGAGCCAACAGCAAAGGATAGAACGAGCTGGCGTGAGTTGGTTGAGGGTCTATGCTCCAACAGGGTATAAATGGCAGAAGAAGATGATTCTTGCTTTCTTCACTGTCTGATAATGAACGGGCAACAAACACAACAGACCATAATCACTATTCTTTCTTTCTGCTGTCTCAGAAACAGTATGATAATCAAAAAGACATTTATTGACTGGCTTTCTGAAAAAGAGGCCCACGGACAGGAGGACATATTAGACATCATTAACTCTCTTGCAGGCCCAAGGGTAGTCAAAAGAGACATGAAATTGGTGCATCATGCCTTCATTGGGCTTGTAGGTAGGAACCTATGAACGTATGATGTGTTTCTTGGGACTCAAAGAGTTAAAATCAAAAGCTATAGTAGTACTATACGGGGAATCCAACATGTCACCTCTAAATGAATAGTCCCTTTCTGCAGGAACACGCGTATAATGTTTGACCAACTCAACGCCCCTAACTTCTCTGATAAAACATATTTCAAACAACAAATACAAAAACAAGACAACACTAAAAAAAGTCCTCAAATAATTAAATTAGAAAAAAACCTAAAGGACAGTGTAACAGATGGACGCAGGACTACACCCAGAGGTGAAGCAAAACAACAAGTCAAGTCAGTAACTCAAGAATGTTTGTCAGCTGACCACAACAGCAAAAATACTTACCAACTTCTCCTCATAGGCCTCATCTTTGCCAGCTTTTGGTGGGGTCTTCAGCAAAATGGATGGCCCACTTACAGGCTCAGGCTGAAACAGATTAATAACAAATCCGTAATTTTTTTTTTTTTTTTTTTTTTACAAACTAACAAGTCCATAGAAACATTTTTTAATATATAAGAACGATGTGGATGGGAAGAGGATGATCAAGAAAGAGATGGATAGAAAGTATGGCTGAAACTTGCAGAAAGAGGAACAAAACCACCAATGAAGCCACCCAAGAAAAACTACTACATACAGAGGAAACTACGATGCCGGTGACTGAACAGTACCTCAGGCCCAATGACAGTATTTTACTGGTGCCTCTTCCTAAAGACACATCTAGCAGCTACTTTCTAAGAATCAGGTTGACCCACATAATTTAATAACATCGGTTGCAGCCCATTTACAAATAACAAAATTAGTATTTAAGATGACAATAATACCAGTATGAGCAACACAATAAATAAGTGGACGATGTTCACAGTTTAAGCTAGTTAATTTACAATTTGGACTTGTTCATCTACTGTGCTGAATCAAGGTCTGGTTACAGCTTTTCATGCGTCATAACAGATTTTCAAGTTCGTTTATCTGAGTTCAGAGCTTGGAAAAGGGGAAAGAGAGCTCTGCAGCGGTCCCCATGTACTTTTTTGTTATTACCTTGTTAACATGTTGTCTCCTTGTTTACTAACAGTGTGGTGAGTTAGTATACTATCTTACTTAATCTATTGCAGATCCTTGGACATACCAAATAGGATCTATACCATATACAAATTGAATTTTCCTATAAGAAATAAATGGAGAATGATGTATCTGTTCCTATTAAAGATGTCCTTGCAAGCAACCTTTCACAATGAAACATTATTTCAACAGTGTGGATTAATAATAATTTAATTATTCATAAAACTTGGTGACACAATCAATAAAGAACCATTATAGTTAAGTACTGTCTTCAGAATTACCAAGAAATACTAAGTGTGTTTTGGTATTTACAGAGCTGATGAGTCATCATATCTGTACCTTATAGGTTGTGAACAGTTTCAAAATTCAGAGATAATACTGGGGTTCAAAGTAAAGGTGAGCTGCAGGTGATTTGTCCTTTGATAGGTTGATAGCAGTCACTACTTTGCTTTGACAATGAAATGAGCGTCACAATGTTTAGAAAATTATTAGGAAAAATAGTGATTAGTGATCAGAAAGGATTATCATCACAGCCCTCTGGAAATATCCATAGGTGCTCCGATCTCCTCCTCAAAAGCTCCTTCTTCTTCTCTTCCACCCTGTACCTCATCGAAGTGTTGGGGGGAGATGTTATGTTCGTTGATGAGCTCTGTCAAGAGCACTATTAAGACTGATGTTCATTTCTGTAAGGCTGTTCTTAATGCCATCACTCCAACTTTTCCGAGGTCTTCCACTCGCTCTATACCCGTTGTAATGTTTTAGTGTGGCTCGCTGTGGTGGAAAAGCTCCACAAGTGTAAAACGACTGAGGATGCCTGTTCTGTGTTGGTTAATGAAACAATTTGTCCTCTAAGTGAAATGTTCATTTCTTGCAGCTCCAGGCTGCAACTGCATGCCCATCAGTCTAGACAGGGATATGGAGTGATGTCCTTTGGCGTGCTCCTCGGTACGGTAGGTGCAGCGCATGGCATTGATAACATCACTTCTGTCCAGTACTGGGCCAGCCATAGCAACTGCAGTGTCAGCAAGATAGTCTGCTCTGCACACCTTGAACGCCCGCATGACCTGGCACAAAGATGAAGGTTAGGGCAGATATTCGTGAAGTTCTTAGTGTTTCAATCCATTCTTGCCTGATAAATCCAACTTGGATTTTTTAAGCATATTCATTGAGTCACTAAGAAAGCCTATGTGTGTGAACTTTTGAGTACCAAGCTGTGCTAAAGCACTTGTTACAGCCATAGTTTCCATTGTAAGGCTACTAGTTGTAACAGCAAAGGTGCCATTCATCTCCTTGATGGTTTTCCCCCCTTGAGCTTACTGTGAAGGCCCATGCACTTCCCTTGCCCCTAATTACTGACCCATCTGTGTAAACTACAGCATCACCTTCACGTGTGTTTTCATCAATCAGTGTTCTGACTAAAGTGTCAACAATGCCAGGAATCTGCTCTCTACACCTTCCATCAAGTGTGATTTGGACTGTAATATTATTGTTTGGAGAGGGAGGCACAATTATCCATTTCCAAAATTAATGTCAGTAAGGCTGCAAACATGTTTGATGGCATCCTCAGCCCGACCCATCCAGGATTTGCCTCCCTCGTTTGAGTCTACTCTTTTTTGCCTGAACAATTCCTCATAAAGGTGGGTGTTGGTGGTCTGATTTCACTTTGAGGAAAGCAACAGCCCTGGATAGCTTGATTCTGTTTTCCATTGTGGGGAAATCCAAGAGGTATCGCATGGATTTACAGGAGGTATCTCTAGTGCCTCCAAGAATAATGCGCATTGCCTCCTTTTCAATTTGTTCCAGTCTGTTCATCTGAATGTCATGATGGCCAAGGCATATTCAATGGTGGAGAGAACTAATGCACGATACAACATTACAAGTAGCTGTTGCTCAAAGTTTGCAGCTCCCATAACTTTGACTGGCTTTGGTTATAATGTGATCTAAGTGTTTTTTAAATGCTAAGCATCTGTCAAATGTTATACCCAGGTATTTCATGGAATCAGATCTCTCCACGTCAGCGCCACAGAGTTTTACTATCGGCATTGGTGTTTTAGAAAGGTGATTATTTAATGAGAACCAGGTGACTGGCGCTTTTGATGGATTAATTGTTGCCCGAGGTGTTGCACCGAATAACGGCCACATATTATATCGGTTAAAAAAAAACTCACCCTGACAGGGCCTCAATCACAAATAAATTGCAGACTTCTTTCCGGCGAATCTACCACGGCAAAAGTAGGATACATTTCTGGTGATGATGTCGTGAAACGCAACAAACCGCCGAGTTTAACTCACAGCCGAGTTTCTCCTGCACCGCTAAGCATGGCACGGAGGGGGGCTAGCAAAACTAGATGGCTGGGACTCATGAGCAGCAGCTACCGCATCTCTTGCAGCTTCCTCATTTAATTTGCTCGTGAGTCCCAGCCATCTAGTTTAGCCCCACTCCTTGAAGGAATACTCTCGGCGGTGGCGTTCCTTATTATTTTTGAGTTCAACTGTTTGAATGTTTACAACACATGACCTAATGAGGCCCTGTCAGGGTGTATTTTGGCCGCCATGATATGTAACCGTTATTGGGAGGATAGCTCAATTTGTTAATAATGGACGTGTTGGAAAATTTCAACAAAATTAAGGGTTTTGGTTTAATTTTACCAGGCTAATGCAACCATGTTTTTTTTTTTTAGTACACAATAATAAAAATAAACAGTCGATGCAGGGAGGTGTGAGTGAATGAATGGAGCAGTGAATCAGTGGTTGTCTGGCTAGGTGATGAGATCGTCGGCGCTATGATTTCACTATGATGATCACTATCCTTTTGGCGCATATAAGTTATGTAACTTAAATTAGTATTTTGTTAAGTTCCAAGGCAACAAAACATGTTCACTTTCAAACTTACAGAGTCTTCAGGCTCCGATATGTCTTCTGCTGGACTATCTGGTTCCGACTCGGACATTTTGATGAAGAAGCAGTTATCAAAGATTAAATTAGGTCCAAAAAGAAAATTGCCACCTTTGTGTGGTCGTTTGGCGGGGGTAATTGTGGGCCTTGGCAAAACGGAAATGGAAACCATGTGCTCCGGCTCTGGTCGGCAATCTTCGGTAAACTACGTATCTGTCATCACAGATTACTGGAAATGTAGATAAACAAAAGAACCGGCTGTTATTTTCTAGAAGCAAAAACAGTTGAACATAACGGTTCTGGTAAGACTGCGAATATTGAGTGAATTACTGAAAGAAATAAGTAAGAGACAATTGCAATATTCTGGCCACATTAAAAGACATAATACGCTTTTAAAAATACCGTACTGGAGGGAATGGTCGAGGGCAAAAGAGCAAGAGGTAGACAACGATACAAGTAGGGGAACAACATCAAGAGGGATAAACAGCAGTCTGAGAGAGTGTACAACCAAGAAGAGAGATAGAGCCTGTTGGAGAGTAAGTATAGACTACCTTCATTGTTGATACGGTATCTTATTGCAGCTTTCCGCTGGCTAGAGAACACGACACACACACACACACACACACACACACACACACACACACACACACACACATCGTGATTGTAACTGATTCAGAAAGCATGCTGAGGAAGATCAGAACAGGTATGCTTCGTGCAGAGTGGCATGCTTCACTGCGGAGGACACGGGTGAAAAGTATTGTCTGGATTTTAGTTCCACAACTCTAGAGAGTGCGGCTAATGGTACCGGGCATGTGAATCTTTCAGCGAATTAGTAGGATTTGTGTGTGTGCGTGCGTGTGTATGTGTGAGTGTGAGTGGAGACATAATTGACTTTGTTTCATGTATCAGACTGAAATTTATGCCAAACCAGCATAGTGGCAGATTGTCGTGGTGTACCTCAGTGCAGTGACCTCAACGTTAAGGGACAGCAGTGGATGTGCCAAGACAGTACTGTTCCTTGAGTTACCGCCCACAAGACATGTTGCTCATCTAGGCAGACATTTTAACCGTGGGTTGTCATTTTATGGTATGTTCGGCCAGCGGTCTTCGCCCATTTGTCAAATTACCTTTGATAGATATTGTCACCCATGCATTGGGGGTGTGCTGATGTGAGCTAGACCTGACATTGCATCTGTGGAGGCCGCTAAGTGCAAGATCTCCTGTCAACTTAGGTCAGGTTAAAAAGGTGAGCCCTTATCCATGGCGCACGACGTGGACGTGTGTCAGGAGTCTCGAGTGAAGATCCGTGTGGCCACCCCTGGCGCCCGAGATAGGTACGGAGTAACTCCCTATACCCATTACAACAGCCTTAACTTGCTCTCACGCCCGGACCAATATCACCATGCCACGGCCTGAAAATGAGTGTGTAACTGCACTAGCAAATCAAGCGACAGACAACGCTGAATATTCCCTTTAGCCAACTTTGAATGCAATGAAGGCGTCTGGCAAAGAGAGTTTGAAGAAATAAAAATGAAATTAAGGCAGGTAAAATATTTTCATCAAGCAATTCTGACCCAGCCCAAACAGTCGCATGCATGTGCGGTCGATCTTGAAGGTAAGGCAGGGTGAGGGATATTTTCTACTTCCATACTTGTCGAAACTAACGCAAAACGGTCTGCTGTCGAATCGCCTGCAGTTGGGATTGAGCCCGGCATTACATAGCGCGTTCGCAACGACAAAGCTCCATACGCCGACGGTCTTCAATTACCTTAATAAAATGAGTTTTTCTTGATAAGCACGTCAGACTGTCTTCTAGTGGATCTGCGAATCCAGCGGCAGTCTATATGACCTCAAAGACACTTTTCAAAGGGATGTTGCGGGGCTTTCAGGTGGGACAGTACAGGGCCAGACTGGATTAATTTGTTCATTTAAGAAAGCATCCACCAGTCAAGGCTTTCTTTCTTGGTCCTGACATTGCCATGCCTCGGTATCAGACACAAAGGTAATTTAAGGCAGTTGTGCGTGTATATTTTTCTTCGTTTTGCAAATTCTAACATGTCCGATGAACCAACGGTAAGCTTGTCCCTCTAGTCGTAAAAGTAGTCGCATAATATGATAACGCAGCGACAATATATAACACCAAATCTCACAATACCTGTTGCAAAAGCCACTATCTCTTCTTGTCACTGTCCGACGTCCGATAAAGTGCAGCAGGGGATGTCCGAAGCCTGGCGTCATGAACCATGTCGGCCCACGTTCTGAGATTGTAAAGGAAGTAATGGGCCGAAACAATCGACGACGAAAAACCTTTCTACTAATGACTCGAATATAATAATAATATTAATTACTATTATTATTATTATTATTATTATTAATTATGAAGGTTGAAGTCGAGAGGATCGACTTTCATTGCACCGGTAAACAATATTCGAGTCTGCTTTCCACGTACCCGAGTACGATATCTTATTTAGAAACTAATAAAAACGCGTCATTTGATAACTATGCGTTTATTTATTTACTTTTTTAACAGTACAGTAATAATAACAGCAGCAGTAGCAGAAGTAGTAATAGAAGCAGCAGTAGTTGTATTATCAGCAGCAGCAATCGTAGTAGTAGTTGCAGCAAAAACAGCAGCAGCAGCAGTAGTAGAAGTAGTAGTAGTAATAGCAGAAGCAGTAGTAGTAGTAGTAATAGCAGCAGCAATCGTAGTAGTAGCTGCAGCAGTAGTAGTAGTAATAGCAGCAGCAATCGTAGTAGTAGCTGCAGCAGTAGTAGAAGTAGTAGTAGTAATAGCAACAGCAGTGGTAGTAGTAATAGCAGCAGCAGTAGTAACAGTAGCAGCAACAGCATTAATAGTAGTAGTTTTGGTGGTGAAGGTGATGGTGTTGTCGGTAGTAGTAGCAGAAGCAATAGTAAAACATTAAACCGCAAGCTAGTAGATGTAATGGGAAGTAGGACTGTAAAGTCAAAGATGTGAACAGATGAGATAAGTAATGTATCGGACAAGTAAAGTCGATAATGTGTAAAGTCGAGATTTAAACTTTCCATATTGGCTTTATTTCCCAAAGTTTTGCGAAATATGAATATCCAAAAGTCATAAATCCAAATCTTCCCGAAAATCAAACAGTCACAAATGACGAAGCATTGGCTCAAACAGGAGAAAATCTCCTACAAAACCGGTTTGCAGGTAGAAGATAGCTGATGTGGAATCTATCCTCGTTAAAGCAGTGTTTCCTAAACTGTTCTTGATCGCGTCGCTTGTAATTAAAATTGCTTCACGCCGCCCTAACCTGAGTAAAAGTTTGACTATTCGTGTCTTGGTTAAATTAATTATGAAGCTTTTACAATATTTCGCGGCGCCCCTGTGAAGAGGTCGCGGCTCCCCGGGGCGCCGCGGAGCACAGTTCGGAAACCACTGCGTTAGAGCATATACTGGGGATTTTGTCAACTCTCTGGGTACCGTCTCTGATTATTGAAGTGCATATATGATGAGAAGTTATATTTCACAGTGGAGCATCAGGTGTACGAACTATGCTAGGTGTAACAAGGAAAGATCGACTTAGGAACGATGATATCAGGAGGAGAGTCGGCACAGAACCAAAACTTAACTTCATCGGTAGACAACAGCAGATCAAATGGTTTGGCCATGTAACAAGACTGACAGGGGACCACAGAGAGCAGTGATATACAAATACGACGGTAACAGACGCAGAGGTAGACCACATAGAAAATGGACCGCAGAAATATCAGAGACACTGAAAAGAACTTTATACGAAGCGAACAGAAGAAGCCGTTCCTAAGATCTCTTACTGTCGTGACACTCTCAGGCGTTCCAGGAGTAGAGACAAGAAGATTAAGAAGAATCTTTAATTTTAAGCCAAGAACTGACATCACAACACTCTTGATATTCCCATAAGCGCCCTATCCTCATATCCCGCAGCCAGCAAACTCTGATGGTGCTAGTAGTAGTTTGATCAATTGTCCTGTTCACCTTCCTGTAGCGTGTAGACCAGATCCTCTTGTCGTTTCTAGCGGTGCCATTCTCTCCAGACCATAATTATCTATTCGTGTTTTCACATCGTTCAGTTGCTCTGACAAGACTTTGGTCCCTCTAGCTTCTCATGCGTAAATAGAGCTCTAATGGGGCAAAATCAGCCATTCTGTTTGCATGTTAATTTTCTAACACTCCTGCACACGCGGAACAAATATCAAAAGAACGCTAACTACCCGAGACCTCTTTTCACGTGAATTTCTGTTTTTGCATGCATGCACACGTGCAGAAATTGGGCTAATCCCACAGGAGTTCTGTTCAATGCTGCCTGTAACGACATCCTAGCACTTCGGTCCTACCCATTCGTGCTCCGTCCTTTGAGGCACTAGACATCTTAGTGTCTCCATTCTCGACTTTCTTTGTCCCGCAGCTGGTTTCCTCATGCTTATCCTCGTTTCTTACCCTCATACACATGTCTGAAACCATGCTGAGAAAGGTGAAGACATGGATGCTTCGAGCAGAGTGGCAAGCTTCACTGGGAAGGTCACAAGTAGTGAGCATACTTTAGATCTTTTCTCCAGGCCATGACGGAGTAGTTGGTAATGAACAGGCAGACAAATTGGCTGGATCTGCACCACTGGATGGTGAATTGATACATGCCAGGGCAGATGTGGTCAAGGTCCTTTGGGAACAAGCAACGGAATCAGTAGAGAATGACGATTGTTATGGCTTGGAGACAATGACTCACCTGGGTGTAACCAGGGGGTCTGGCCAGCTCACTACACTCAGAGGAAAGGCAAGACGGACATATAACCAGATTGTGACCAGTACCATCAGTATTGGAACTCTGTGCTGGCTGCTGAAGATGAAGACGGAGCACGCATGGGATTGCCCCAAGTGCGGTGATGTCAATTCTTGACTTAACTCAAATGTTAAGTACCCATTTGCAACAGGCACTACATTATCTTTGACTGCTTTGTTTCAAAGTCTCTGGAACGCTGCGCATTTAATATGTCTGCCATGTGAATACTTTTCCCCCACCAACTACTGCAGTCTAGGCCAAT